AGTTATTTCGATTTCGCGAACGAACGGACGTCATTTAAGCTGGATAGGACCAGTCCTGAGGATATTCCTCCGCCATAAAAAGAAACCAGTGTTGCAACGAAGGCAAGCACTGAAAGGGCTTCTATAATAACTCGACATAAACCTCGATTTCATAAGTACCACAATAGCCCAAGCACTGATGATTCCCAAGGGGGATGAAAAAGTCAAACAACCGAAAAGTTACCACAGAGTAAAGCCTGTGTTTTAGGGATTCGGCAGTTTGTGAGTAAACTTACTTAGTTCAGTCACTTTTTGCTAAAATCGTATAACTCATAATAATGTATGAATGCTAGCTAGATGCCAACAAATAATAATCCATCGATCATCCTCATCCCACAATCATGCATTCCTCCACGCCACAATACAATACTCATAACTCATTAATCTAAATTACTCTCGTGATTGGATGGAGGCTTGTCGCTACAATTCCAACTGTTGTTGGCAGCCCTGGCATTTTCCTTTTCGGCAGAACCGTACAGTACTAGTACACGGTTTCTATTGCGTTCTTAAAAGTTCCTTGTTCTGCACCGATGCGATGATCGCGAGGACCTTACCATAACCTGGCGACCCACATGGGTCGGCAGGCTCCCTACACATAAAAGAGAAACGTGTGAGATTTAACAGCAAACACGAATGTGAGTCACGAGGACGAAATACCAAGGTGCGGAAAAAGCAAGTGAGTGACGAGTTGAGTCATGAAAACGAGTGCGAGAGTCACGAAAACGATTTGATTGCACAAGTCATCAACAAGAAAAAGGCAACGACAATGAGAGGAGGAAAGACGCAAGAGCGAAGCATCCAAAAGAAGACGGTGGTACTCACGGTGATAGCGTCATCTTGATTGTCTTGCCAGAAGGAGGATTAGAAGGAAGATAGGAAGGAGAAGAGTGTATTGTCTGTGATGAAAGTGGATGAAAACGGAAGAGATAGTAAGAAATTATTGTTGCCGCCGTGAAATCTTTGCCGTCGAGACGAAAGGTGCAGAACTATAGTTGCATAATGTTGAGTCAAAGAATCATTATCATAATCCCACTGAAAAGTCTCACATTCTTGAATCGATAGAGGGTGTTTCACAGGGAATAAAGTCATTTCATCTCCATCGTAATCAGCACCATACGGTGAACACATTGCAGGAGGTTGTTGTGGTGATGAAGTCTTCATCATCTTGATCGTTACGCAGGATTAGATTGGGCAGCTGGGAAGCACCATGGTGTATTTACCTGATGAGGAAGGATGAAAGTGTTTTTGGCAAACAAAGGAAGGATGACGGAGCAGAACCAATGGGCATTTTTGTTGTTTGTAGAAGACCAAATATTGACGTTCACGTCAGTTGCTGCAGACACAACAGTTCGAATGGAGCCAATGACTTGAGCAGGACCGGATCATCATTGGCATGGAGAAGGCATTTGGGATAATTTTGAGGAACATTCGAGGGCGGCAACAGAATGTTCCAGGTTTTGTTGTTTGATATTTCGAAACTCCAACAAGTGAGACTCCATTACATAATAGGTATAGGATTGTGAGAACGTATTAACAATTGACATTGTAGTGGATGCGGATGAAGCAAAAGTGGCAATGCATGTAGTGCTACCAATAGCAAGATGTGGAACAATCGTAGCTACAACGGGAATTCTCTCTATCCGTACTGGAATATGCCGGTACAAGGGAATGGCATCCCTGCCGTCAATCGGGCAACCGACAACGACAACAACAACAGCAGCAACAACAACCGACGCACTAGTAGGCTTTCTGATTTCAGGGAAGACTTCCAATGTCAACCTTGTAGCAGTCTCGAAGATGCTCTAGCCGAAGTAGAGAAGCAATACGGAGGGTATTACAATGATCAGTACATCATTAAAGCAGATGGAACCGAAACGAACAACGAAAAGGGCATAAAGAAATACAAATTCCATTGTGTAGCCAACTGGCATGATAAAGAGAAAGGAATGCAAGTAAAGTGCAAATGGAGGTGTCAAATCCGGAGCTATAAAACTGGCGACAGATCGCCACAACTATTCAAAATCTACAGCAAAGACATACTGTCGCACGACCACTCTGTTTGTTCCCACCCAAGAACACCCACAAACCAACACGGCCTCCCATATTGTGTCATTGCTTTCATATCGAAAATGGTGGAACACGAGCAATGTGCACGGAACAGATCCATCCTAAGGATTGCCGCGGAAGAAATATTGAGGTCAGTCACAGAAGCGCTGGAATGCGCAAGGAGGAACAAGCTAGGAGACAGCCATCCAATGAAACACCACACATACCTCCTGCAACCAGACTTTCGAGAGCATTTGAAGAGACAACTTCGAAACCATCTGAATCACCGGAAAATGAATTATGTTGAGTCGCAACTGGGTAGCAACAAGGATCTGGTGAACGCCTACAACTTGTATCGAGCCCTTGCCAATTGGAAACTTACCATTCCGGTCGGATACGTTCCTCGCTGTTTTACCTCCGCGGATGAAATGGCAGCAGCACTTAATGCCTCTGTGGACCAGATGATTGTAGTTGACCTTACATACGGCAAGATTCACAGCCGATTCAAGTCTGCCATGGCACTGGATACCCCTTCCAAGAGACGTGATTTCAGCGACAAAATGGAACAAGCATTCCTTGTGACATCCCCTACTGGTCTTTTCATGCTTATGAACCTTGCACAGAGGTTGTCTGGTTCACGGCAAGTGTGTGCCGATGGAACCGGTGGTACCAGTTCCGACCTTAGCACCATGGTAATTATAGGAGCGCTGTCAGTGAAGGAAAGGGAAACACAGAACCAAGTCACTGCCTCGTTGAGACCAATTGCTTACCTGCACGTTGGAGCCGAAAGATACTTCCCATATTGCCTTTCGCTTTATGTATTGCGAGACCTGTGCTGGGATCTATTCAGGCTGCGACTATCTTTGGACTGGGGAACTTCTGATCGTGCGGATGCATTCATTAAAGCCCATCAGTTCTTCAACCGGAATCCCAGTCTTTGCGACAGCGAAACCAAGCCTGTTCTTGTTACAAGTGTCATGGATGAGAACGAATCTTGTGTAAACGCGACGAAAGCCCCCGACACCATACTCAGCTTACCAGATCAAGTAACGTCAAGGAAGGCAAACAAAGTGCACTCTTCTGATGACATCGAATCCTTTGACTGGAACCTATGGAAGGAGAAAGTTTCTGATGTAACAAACAGTCATGGAGCAACACCGTGCTACTTTCACATCATGCAACACTTTGCCAAGAACGATGGATATGTTAAGAAAATCCGCAACAGACATTTCGCGAAAAACAAGAACATGTTGGCTAAGTCGAAAGCATACCAACAAATTCAGCTCATCCACCACTGTAAATCGCACTCGCAAAAGATGAAAGTTACCGAGCTGATCATGAGACATTGGATGGAAGAACTGGGTGAGGAAGAAGCAGCCAAGCATTTCATGAAAATGTACGGCCACGGACCTTACTTCAATTTCAACTATGCATGTACTGGTCGTGTTGGTGTTGTTGTACACAGTACCAGCAATGAAAGCCATCACCACCATCACATCAAAGGAAATAACGCTCCAATTGCACTCAATGTGTCACTGCCGAGATTACTGGTTGACACGTATCCAAGTCTTTTGAAAAGAGACGCCTTAGACCGAAGCGATCCATGCACAATTGTCATACCCCGTACCTGCTCTCGCTTGTGTCTTATTGCATCCACGTTCATGAGGATGGATCGTGACGTAATTCCCATAAGTCACTCAAGCCTCGGACATCCCAGTGCGTGGGTGGCAAACATCGGTTACAAGATCGGAGTCCCCATAACAAAGGAAAGGATTGGAATGATCAAGTCTGCTTTGGATGGTGATGCAGAAGCATTCGAGGATATCTACTCAGAAGGGGAGGACGCAATGGATATCACTGCAAAGAAGATGGTGTCGGCCACCAGGAATACGTGTCTCTTGACATTTCGTAGCCAAGATGGCGTTATTGTGGGTGACTGTGAGGATTGTCGTAAAAGGCTTGGCTACAATTGCCCTGCAGCAGCATTTCTTCGTAGTCGATTTGGTCAGTTTGACGTTTCTGTGGAAGATATGAGAAAGGTTCGAAGCAACACCCGACGCAGTGGTTTCAAGGCACAGGCCCGTGGACGTCGAGACGGTATGTATGAGGGTGGGCTTTTGAAGGATGGTCGAGTGGCCAGAGCAACTCCAAAGATGTTAGAGACGCCAGAGGAATTCATTAATTCACTTTCCACAGAACACAAAGTTCAAGGCGTGAACTACCTCGGACTTACCGTTTCGGATGAAAAGAGGAGCTGTTTCCGCGGACAAGGAATGACCACCAAGAACGTGGAGGATGCCATGTGTTTGCGTGAACTCATCCGTTTTAACGCTGACAGCCCTGCCTACCGGGACCTGCAGAAGAAGAGCAGTACAGTTGCCAGGAAACGCATCGGTGACCAACAGCAGATCGCCAATTACTCCAAGAAGAGGTTGAAGGCACATCCGTAAAAGAAGATCCAACCATGTCTGGAATCCGGGTAGCCACAACGTATCTTTCGCAAGTATGTTCAACTTTCATCCAAGTGGTGCGCGTCAATTCTCTAGCATGTCAACGGTCATGAGGAATTGTCCGTAACAAGTATCAAGTCAAGAGCACGCGTCAAAGGAATAGTTTCAATATTAGTACATAGGACACGATTTATCCATTCGCCCCTGTTGTTTCCATACTTACATAGTTTAATTGAGCTCAAACTTTTTCCCGTAGAAGCTTGCAACTGGTTCCATGATTGCTGAGATGGCTTCGACGCTTGTGCGGTGGACAATACTCAAGCCCTGATGTTCCGTTTTGATCCGTTTTGCTACCTCCGAATTGGGGAGCACAACTCTGTTTTGGCTCATTTATTGGCTTTCGCACAACAAGAAAGCACTCTGACCGAACGATTAGCACAGGAACCAATCACTGTTTTGTTGACCATGTCTTCGAATGAAGACAATGACCGGAAGCCGCCTGGTCGACGCAAGAAATACAAGAACCCATACCAGACGAAGATCCCCTTTTCGCATCATGTTTCCCATAACGATGATGAGTTCAAGCCCCGTCCTTTCGCTCGTATGAGTACCAGTGGCAAGGCTCCTTCGAAGTTTGTCTCGGCCGCTACCCTTCTTGCGAACTCTGATGATTCCGAATGTCGCAAACCAAGCTTCAAGAAGGCCTCGAAGGCCTCCAAGGCTCCTCTTTATGCTCATTCTGATGGAAAGAAGAAAGGCTTCGATCCATACCATCCGACTCTTCCTGGAAAAGATGGTTACGTGCTCCCTGATCCACGTGCCGAGTACCAAGAAAGCTTCATGAAGAAGCGTCGTTCCACTTTGAAGTCCATCCGTCCCGAATCAAAGATGCTTGACCCTGGATCTTGTTACTATCATGCCCCGGTCATCGAAGCGGCAGAAAATCCGCCTTACCAAGCTCCTTCCATTCCTGGATCCGAGCAAGACAGCCAGCCAACACCTCCTCCTCCATTCGACGTGGTGACTGACAATCTGCCCCCTCCCATTGGTTTAGATCCTCCAAGTGTGGACGAAGCAGCTGCCAAGGCAATCCTTGCATCTGAGGAGGCATCCGAAGATGAATTTCCTATTGATGACTTCATCCGCTTGGCTGATAGCATGTTGACACTCAGCGAACGGTGCACCCAAATCATCAAGCTGTTGTACAAGCGTGATGTCAAGCTCTTGCTGGTTGTGCAGCGATACTATTTCGGTGTCAACCAACCACTCAAGGAACGCGGACAGCAGCTTGACTGGATCTTTGAAGACCATATGCTTGGTCAACCACTCTATTGGCTTGCACAGTCTGGATATCCCTTCCCACGAGCTGGTGACGACTTCGCAATGTGTGGATTCTACATCCATTTTGATCGATTCATCAATCAGTTGCACATGATCCACTATGCCATCACCTTGGAATACTCTTGGTTCATGTTGGTAGGAGCCGGTTTTGGTTGGGACCTCAACGAATATGCCAAGCGATATGAGCACTTCAAGAATGGACATCCTTTTGATGGTTGGATGACCAAACGAATGGGCAAACCTGACATTTACCGCATTGGCAAGCCTGACATCAACATCCAGTATCTCCATGACGCTGGAGGCAGTGACCGGCAGCCAAGCCAGTTGCCCCTTGGGAAAGCTTACGTTCCATTGACAATCAAGACTGGAGATACCACCATGGACTTCGGCACAGGTGGGTCCACTCCAAAGGTTGATAAGCCCAAGAAACGAGCTCCACCCGACACCACGGAAAGCGGAAGCACTTATGACACCCCACTTGTGATTACTGATTCGGCTGAATTGCCGGTGTCCTCCCCTGCTCCTGCTGCTGCTGCTCGTCCTGCAGCATATGGCTTCGATTATGGAACCCCAGTTGATCTCTGTTCTGATGACGATGACCGCAAGCCAGCTGCAAAGAAGAATGGACCAGCCACAAAGAATGGACCAGCTGCTTCTGATGGTTCCCCATCTTCCCTTTCAAGTATGAGTGCACGTGACAGTCCTCCTACTCGAGAACTCAAATCGAAGGCAGTCCGTCGTCGTCTTGACTTGACGAAATCGAAGACACAGCAAGAGGACACCGATACGGAGGATGGAGGAAAGACACAACAATATGTTCTCGCAGCACTGTAGCCAACCTTCACAACTACAAGAGTCCCACGACAATGAAGATGGTGTTGAAGATGATAACAGTGATGACGACGGAGACAATGATGAAGAAGACGAGGAGGAAGAAGACGAGGAGGAAGAAGACGACGAGGAAGAAGACGACGAGGAAGAAGAGGAGGACAAAGAGGAAGAAGAAGCCGATGATGAAGACGGTGGTGCTAGCAGTGCTGGCACTTCGGTGACATCTTTGACTTATTGAGTGTGCTGATGTGGTGGTCTTGGTCTCTTTCGGTGGCAACTTGTCACCGGTCGCTTTATGTCATTGTGTTGTGGTCGTGTTCCTGTTCGATCTTTCGCTTATTGCGATTCATCGCTTTCGTCAGCGATCTCTCGAAAGTATCAGTGACGATCGCCTGTGCGCCTAAATATCGAGGCGCACTTAGTGGGGTACGCTTTACCACTTTCGGTATTTAGCTGTTATTTCAGTCTTGCGTGCTGTACTTACGTCACACATCTAATCAATTATCCGTCATTAATAAGAAGATATGAAATCAACTACATGTGTATAACCATATCTCAGATATGCTCTGGTAGCCGGGCAACCTAATAACATCAGATTTTTGCCGTGGAGTAGCAAATCTCAAAGATCTCACAATGATGGCCTGATTGCCTCAACAATGTCATCTTCCCACCTCCATGTCCGTCGAAAGAAGCACCATCATGCCACTTCCAATGTTCCACCACAACCACCCCCCACTATCCTACACGATGGTGCACCAAAGAGTACGAATCATGGACGGCGAACTCAAGGTTGGATCGTTGCACTGATCAGTGTGGTCGTTGCCTGGATGCTGCTATCCACCCGAATCCTACTACCTCCAAAAGAAGAAGAAGAGACGCCACTGGCGACGAGTGACTTTGCGTTGGACACGGATACTCGTGATAGGGGAACATCATCACCTTGCCAAATGAAACCAACTCGGTTTCGAACCAACAATCTGGTCAATCCTCTGGCGTTGGAAGACGACCAGCCCGTGTTCTCGTGGGCGTTGGCGCTGCGCGACGACAGCTCTACTTCATCAACAACAAGCCACTATCAATCTGCCTATCGCATCCGTTGCATCCTACAACAATCTCCTTCTTCCCAAGAAGAAATATTGTGGGACAGTGGAAAGATCCAGAGCCAAGAGACGCTCCAGATTGAATTCGCGGGAAAGCCTCTGCAATCGCTTCAACGAGTTCAGTGGCAAGTCCAAGTATGGGATCAACATGATCAAGAGTGTTCTACCAATAATGGACAAGAGCCATGGCCTTTTTTCGAGACGGGATTGCTCGACGAAGCAGCTTGGCAACATGCTCCTTGGTTGGCTCGCTATCCTCCCCACATGGCAGCTAAAAGCACAAGAGCCAATGCCCGTCTCTGCGATATGATGGCCGAGACGCCAGAGAATCAGGCTCCTCGGTTTCGGACCACACTACAAGGAATTGAGGAGGAGTATGCAGAGATTCGAGCCTATATTGTGGGCTTGGGATACTATCAGCTCTACATGAATGGACAACGAGTCGGTGATTCCCTCCTCGATCCAGGTTGGACCACCTACTCCAAGCGAGTGTTTTACAGTGCCTATAACGTCACGGCGCACTTTCGTCGTCAATCATCTGTTGTTAGTATTGCCGTCGAGTTGGGAAATGGGTGGTGGAATCCCCTTCCGTTGAATCTGTGGGACAATCCCAAACTCAATTTGCGCCGCAATCTCGTACAAGGCTTTGACAACACGCAACCCATCTTTCGATTGCAACTCTTTGGATGGACACGGGATGGAAGAGTGAAATCTCTTTTGGACGACGATAACAACCACATTCGTCCATGGAGAGCCAGTGGGTCTCCCACTACCTTTAACAATATCTTTTTGGGCGAAGTGTACGATGCTCGATTGGAACACCTTTACGACGGTTGGACGACCTTGCAATACCACAATCATCATGTTTGGGAACGAGCCGTTGGGCTTCCAGCCCCACCCTTGTTGGGCAAGTTGCAAGCCCAACCGATCCCACCTATTCGACGACAACAAACCTTACAAACGGCTTTACTCTCGACCAGTCCAGGTCAGAACAACACCAATGTACTGCTCCTAGATACAGGAGTAAATCACGCCGGGAGCTGTCGCATTCAACTACTGCAAGGCTACCAAGAGTTGGCGGGACAGCAAATTCAATTGCTCTACGGAGAACTCCTGCACAAGAATGGGACGATCAATGGAAGAACCTCTGTGGTTGGACAGCTCAAAAAACGCTCCGAAACCAAGTGTCAACCGGATATTGCGTATCAGCAAGATATCATTACGCTCGGTGACAAGCCTCTGGATTGGACTCCTTCTTGGTCATGGCATGGCTTTCGCTATATCCAAGTGACATTGCCAGCGGGCATTCATTATTCAAAACATTTCCAAGTGGATTGTTTTACCATGAGGACCGACGTGGACGTCATTGTCTCCAATTTCACCAGCAGTGATCCTTGGCTGGACGAATTGCGAACCTTGGTGCGCAATACCTTTGAATCCAATTTAATGAGTGTCGAGAGCGATTGTCCCCATCGAGAGAGATTCCAATACGGTGGCGACCAGCTGGGGGCGGGGGAGGCTGGAATGTCCATTTACGATTGGTCCAGTTTTCTACGAAAACGGGTATTGGATTACAACGATGCCCAGCGTCGAGACGACAACAACAAACTGGCAGGCTTTACGGAAACCGCGCCCTATGTTGGCATTGCCGACAAGGGTCTTGGCTTTGGAACTGGGCCGATTGGATGGCAGACGTTTCAGCCAGAAGCGTTGCTTTGGTTGTACAAGTACTATGGGGATATCAAAACTTTGAGAGAGAGTTTTCCCCACACGAAAGCATACATTGATTTGCTAGACAATCACCAGACAGATGGAATTCAGAATGGTTTGGGAGATTGGATGCCGGTTCATGTGACCGATGTCAATTTTACTGGTTTGGGCTTTCAGAGAATGTCATATTTGGCCTTTGCCAACATTACCGAAATCCTGGGCATGTCGCCGGGCATTGCTACTCGTTATAGGAAGAAGGCAGCAAATGTTGCAGATCAAATCAACAAAAGGTTCTTGCAAAAGGCTGGTATTACATTTGGCAGGATTCTTAGCTTTCTGGGGTTTGGTGGAGCTGGAATGACCGGGGTCTATCGTGTTGAAACTGTGGGCCAGGGTGAAGCAATTAAACGGACTGGTAAAGCCACGCAAACGGGCCAAGCAATGGCCCTGTTCAATGGTTTCGTTGAATCCAACCAGGATCTTAAAAGGCATGTCCTGCTTCAACTTGAGAAGAACGTACGGGAATCGTCCTATATCGAGAAAGCTTGCCAATGCGACAACACATCCTCCTTTGAGCCCGAATGTTCCGAAGCACGTGGAGGGCCTGGCCCGCATATGACAGCAGGGCTCTTCGGAGTAAAGTGGTTCCTCATGGCCTTGGCAGATGGCGGGCTGAACGATTTGGCTTATGATGTTGTGACCACCAAGTCCTATCCTGGGCTTCGCTGGATGACCAACAACCCCTTTTCGAACGCGACAACCATTTGGGAGAGTTTCTTTTTCTCAGACGACACGTACTCTCACAATCACCCCATGTTTGGCTCCACGGAGGTCTGGCTTCTACAATCTGTGGTAGGAATCCAGCCCCATCCTTCCGCTCGTGGCATGAACCATGTACTCATACGGCCCAACCCACCCTCTCAACTGAAGCATGCCTCCGCTTCCTTCGAAAGCCCAAGAGGCACAATCTTCGTCTCCTGGAAAAGGGATACGCATGAGTCCTTCCAGCTTGAAGTATCAATTCCTCCCAACTGTCATGCCACCGTCCATGTTCCAGCGTCGGAGAGAGCAACGGTAACACATAATGGGAGAGAGGTTGCTGGTCGATGGGTCCCTACTTTGGCGTCATCCGATCGTGGGTCGTTTGTTGTGGACCGAGTTGGCAACGGGCGTCATGAATTTGACTCTAGAATTCGAGAGAGCGGAACAAGCTCGCAATAACTTTATGGGAGAAGCCCCAAGCTTGTCACCACGGTGGTTGTTCAATGATCTTGAAAACGCCTGCACGTTTGCGGATTTTCTGCTGCCAAGGTGCGGACCATACCGGTATGTCTGTCCATAGATTTTGCCACCAAGGTGCGGAACCTAGAGTACAGAGTTTTTTGCCGCCGAGGTGTCGCCCACAGGCAGAGGTGCGATTGTTTCCGATGAGGTTTCGTACGATTGTTTCCGATGAGGCGCAGCCAGAGCTTTGCTGCCTACCGGTAGAGGTGCGGATTCCAACATTAGAAGTGCAGATTTTTCTGTCGCTGAGGCCTTCTGAGGGCAATGGCAGACATGGTTGTTCAGTTGCTTAGCCTTGGAAAACTCATACGTTTCAAATGTACGTGTACCCGGTAACAGTGGCTAGAACATGCATCTCCGTGCAATGAGAGGACGAAAGGGCCCGACCTCAAGGTTTACAAGCGGAAACATAACTTGTCAAAATCCTGCGTCGGCGACAGCATATCTCGTCCATTCCAGGTTCCAAGATCTGGTTACAGACCGAATCGACTTTTCGAGACGTCAGATCAGTGGCAGCCTACAGGTATTGGAACGTCAGGGAGTGCAGCTTTTTTTTTTGAAGTCCGAGCACAGAGAGACGAACTGAAGAAGAAAAAAAGAATACTAAAATTCACTACCATCCTGTACAGGTTCAAGAAGACTATTCCTCGGGGAAACGTTGGTTGGTCTATGCGCAGGTCTTCAAGGCTGCAGCAAAGTCCGTGATGTATCAATCTACAAGTGTTTGCATGGATATCCGTCTCAACAGGTCCTGACTATTCCCAAGTTTCTTATCTGAGAAATTGTTCTGCCTCTGTACCGGTAGCGGGCAAGCAGATTGCCTGCTCGTGTTTTTAAAGTTGCTGTGTCGTACAGCTTGTGTAACCTGAGGATGCATGCATTAGTGCAGCCCCGAAACCCAAACGGTGAGTGAACTGTTTTTAAGCACAGTGGAGCGACACACACTCGAATTCAAATTTTCCAAGCACTTACCCGGCAACGCAAACCCTCCCGTGAACCCTGCAGTCATCTCCACGAGCCACGTTGGGTCTTCGCAGTCAATGAAACCCACCTGGAGAGAAAACGGTGTCACGGAAAGAAGGGGAATCATTTGCTTGCAACCCTCGAGGAGATCTTGCGCCGTGTTGGTAAAGGCGACCCCCAGCAATCCTGAAATTCCAGCTTCGGCACCCAGGATGAAGCCGAAACAATTGTTCAAGACGGCAATCTGTTCCGTATCGGCTGGTCCTTGGCTGAATAGATAGGTAGGTGGGTAGGTAGCAAAAACGAAACAGTGAGGAAGACGACCCGGCAATACACTCATAGTAATGTCTTAAAGATATACTTACGCCAACAGAACATCACCTTCGTAGGTTGCAATAGCTCCCGCCTCCCAGCTAGCTCCATAGTACAGAGTGGTATCATTATTTGCTTGTCTTTTTGTGGACTGTGTATTGCAATAGACCAACTCATTTTGCACGGCTTGCAACGGCGGCGGATTATCCTTGATGACATTCAAGAACCTGCCCATGTCAGTGGAGTTTCCGTCCATCACATCCAAGCGTTCCGCGCCGGGAAAGGGTTTAAACATGGGACTGTTGCGCTCGACTCCCGATAGATTCATCATGGCTTCCCCATAGGACGCCAAATCAAAGCCTTCCTTTTCAAAGGCCGTCAAAACCGCGTTAAGGACACACGTGTGGGGGAAACATTTCTTTCGAATGGGCAAGGGGATGCATTCCATTCCGTCGACACAGGGGTTGCTTTTCCCGCAGACCTCTCCAAGCTGCTTGAGTGGCCCATTGCTGCTGGTGCCTTGTGCTACAAGCGCATCATCGGAAGCAGAGACATTGAGGGCTCCGAGCCAAAGAAATGGCAAAGTGAGAAAGATACTTTTCATCATCCTGGTTTGAAGTCTTTACAAAGGTATACACCGGTTAGTAGATGATACTTTTCCCGGGTCTGTATGATTCCAATAGAGTGAGAAAATCAACCTTCGGAATGATAGTGTTTCAAATCCTTGCGCTCTAGCTAGACTCTCCTCGAGCGTTTGTCCAAATTGGCGTGAACAGAACGCCCGTGCAAGCGGAAGTGAAAGCGCCAGTGAGGCCCAGATTTCTGCCGTTTCCAACTGAATGAATGCCCTGCCAACAGAAGACAATCTCGCTGAGGATCCGACAGTGTATCGCTGGATCGATCAACCAGGTAGCCAAGCCAAGATAGATGGGTGAACCTCGAGGTGCGCCCGATCCCAGCCGACCGTTCGACCCGCGTGACACATGGTTGACAGAACCTGGATGGCAAGCAACAATCTAATTACTATAGCAAGAATGCCGTTTAGCTTGGTTTATTAGGTAAATTGGATGATATCGTAACGTTCAACGATGATATGGTAACGTCCAACGATGTATTTGATATTCATTCGGAAGGATTACTTACAGCGAACAAATCGGAGACACATTCATTTTTCTGTAATTTCAGAGAACATCCACAAGAAAGCTCAATCGAAGAAGAAAAAGCCAGAGACCATGAGGGTACTAACACTGTTGATGCTGCTTCTGGCAATCTATGCTACAGTAGCATACGAGGAACCATTCGATGACGACGAAGATGATAATACTGATGGCGAACTAGACCCCGATGACGATACACCAAGACAAACAGGCGACCGATGTGGAAGAAGCAACGCTTGTGCGCAGGGCCTCGACTGCATCCGATCTCCCGTTTTGCGACGATGCTTTCCCATAAACTGTGGTGTGGATGCCATTCGAACTGCTATGGATCAGACTGGATTTGACTTGGCATCCTATGGACGCAAGATCATGGCAGAGGCGGGGGTTGAAAAAGACAATCTACCATTCAAAAGATTCCCGGATCCATTCAACATCAATCTTTTTGACAGAGATAATCGTGAAGAGGATATTCAAGCACTGGCCACAGCCATTGAAGAGAATGAGCCTCCAATCGATCTGATTCTCCAAGGATTCAACAACTGCACGGGTGGCGGGGAAACAACCGACGGCGAGGCAACGGTGGCCGGTGTCACGCCCTACTTTGGAGCTAGTTGGGAGTTAGGAGCTGGACCGACGTACAATGCAGATATCTTTTGGGGGTGAGTGAGCAAGCAAGCGCCGACGTACATATTTCGTGCTCAAATCGACCTTCGTTGTTCTGGATATTATAAGAATGCGTCAACTCACCCCGTGTTTTTGGATTCTCCTCGCGTTGCATGCATGCAGACAAGGAACCGCAGACGCCGTTGGCCTTGGTATTCTGAACAATTGCTTTGGTATCGTGCTAGGAGTTGATGCAGGTATTGCGGGGTTGATTGGTCTGGCCTTTACAGGCACTATTCAAGATCTAGCAGTTGGCTGCAAGCAAGCTTTTCCCGTAGCAAGTTTCCCACCCTTTGATCTTCAGCTTGGAGTTATTTTGAGTGAGAGCCCCACGTTCCTCATGGAATTTACCGGTGGAGCATCTGCCAGTACTGGATTGCCAGGTTATACAACGTGCACAACAACAGTTCTCTAGCTAGCTTCATTGTGGGAGCATGTTTGGAGCATGGCCTGCAAGGGCAGAAAGAGTCCTGGATACTAGATGTTTCATACGGTATAACCCACCCTACGGTACCGTACTACTAGCTAGACCTTTGTCATCCCATTGAACCGCTATCGCCTCACTGAAGGTAGAAGCTAGACTCTCTTCCCAGCGGTATCCAGGCCAGTGCCTATGCTATGGTAGCCAGATAGTGCATGTACCCGTACAAATTCCGGCTGCCCAAATGGACTTGCTGGCAAGGATCTGGTATGGTAGGGATAAAGTTTTTCCCAAGGAAAGGGAAACCGACAGCCGGGGTGACATGAGCGAGCAGCATGGTGCGTTGGCTTGACAATGAAGGTCGCGCAAAGAACAGGGGCTCTCCCAATTTCTCGGAAAGTTCCACTGTGCGCTGAAACGCCAAATCAGAAAGTTCCACTGTACGCTGAAACGCCAAATCAAAAGGTGCCCGTTGACGCGCCAAGATTTCGTTCATCAGTTCTTTCGCTGCTTGTACACCTTGATGCAGTGTACAAACCGTTGTTAGCACATACTATCATTTTTGCTATGCTTTCTCTGTGCCATACTAGTAGAGGATTTAGTAACATGGGCTTCGAGGCGAAATGGTTAGCACAAAAATCGAGTATGAAACTTTGCCCTCCCCCAGAGAAGCCATGAAGATCTCTTCAGCCCACGTTTTGGTGGCCTCCTTGGTGCTCGCAGCTGATGCTACGCCCACGGAATACTCTAGATTGCGCGGGCTTAGATCTCTGCAAGAGGATGATTTCGAGGGGGGAGGCCACGGAGGAGGAGGGGGCTATCGGCGCCCCAGCGCTTCACCAAGTGCCATCCCCAGCGTTTCACCAAGTTCTATCCCCAGCGTTACACCAAGTTCTATCCCCAGTGCCGGTCCAAGCATATTTCCCAGTGGTTCCCCCAGCACGCAACCAAGTTCCGGTCCGAGCTCTGCCCCCTCGTTGCAGCCTAGCTTGAGCTATGCTCCCTCGTCGACACCCAGTTCACGGCCAAGTGGTCAGCCAAGTCTAAGCAATTCGCCTTCCACAACTCCGAGTTCACAGCCAAGCGTACAACCAAGCTTGAGCAACCAGCCTTCGACCAGTAAGCAGCCAAGCAGCATCCCAAGTTCAGATCCCAGTGGTTCTCCCAGCATGAAACCTAGCTCGAGCGACGTTCCCAGCCTTACTCCTTCCGCAAGCCCTTCTGCAGGTCCCAGCACATCGCCTTCCGTGACACCAACTCCTGCCCCGACAGTGTTTTGCGTATTTCCTCTCAACGCTGCTAGCAACAGTACACTTGCCACAGCTATCCATGCTCTTGGAGATTTCTTCTTCGGCGGCTGATACACTATGGTAGGGTTCCTGGTTTGGTTGATATGTTTTCTGGATTGTTCGTCTCGATGTTTTTCGTTTCAGAAGTCGGTCCAAGGAGGGACAACCCTAGAGGGCGGGGCGAAGGGTTTAAGCTTAGTTAGGCTATCATTGAAACACTCTCTTTGGTAGTTCCCGGAGAGAAAATGAACTGCGGTGACCTGGGCGACTCTGGATTGCGCACAGGCCACGAGTTTGCATAGGTCCCCAAAAGATAGCCGAAGGGACAGTTCTGATCAACCAGACCCTGGGCATCCATTATCATGTAGCCACTGCATTACTTCTGTTTGTCTTCTGTCCTTTGCTGTTTGGAAAGTCACTTCACTCCATGGGCATCCGTGCTCACGTGCCCATTTCAAAATGCTCAGGTGCCCATGTCTAGCAGCGACAGTGCATGTTTTGGTGTCCCAAGGACATCCATGTTCCCTTGCCCATGTCAACAAGTCAAGGTGACCGGCTCCAGCAGCACAAGCACATGTATCTTCATCCCATGGGCATCCATTCTCATGAGCCCATTGGAAAATCTCCTTATGCCCACCCATCGCAGCAAAGGCAGATGTAATTGCATCC